CCGCTTGCTCAAGGCTCAGCTTGCGTGTCTTGAACTTACTTTGGTCAGGTTGCCGTCCCTCGCAAGCTCGTGCACAGCTAGAATCTGGTGGGCGTCGATATTGCCTTCATCTTTTTCTAGGATTCTGAAACAGGAAGAGGAGCCATGTGAATTGCGAGCATTGACAGGCTGGTATGGCAACAACTGCTGTGTGTCTTCCAATACCCATTCTCCCTTCTTTTAATAATGCTGCTGTTTGCTGTGACAGACTAGAACTGCCCCATAGGGTTTTCTGGGCTGTAATCTTTACAGGAGCAGATCGCCAGGTCTATGTCATGCAGAGCTGTTGGGCGGGTTCGAACCACCAGCCTTTCAAGCAGCCAAGTGCTTAACAATTGTGCCACCAGGGTTCCTCTGTTTTATGGATACGGATATACATGTCTACGTACGTATGTACATATATATGTATATATGTATACATTTATATATACTGTGCTTTAGATGAAGGTTTACAAAGCAAAATACACATATTGTTTTGGGACACTGGTTGCCAACCCTGCAACGTGTCAACACTCTCCCCTTCTTGATCCTGGGTTCCCCATTTCCATTCGTCCAGCTTTCCTGACCCCTCCTGCCTTCTCCTCCTTGCCCAGGACTCCTTTCTTTCAATAACAAAACCAAAAACCAAACCCACTGCCATTGAGTCGATTCTGACTCATAGCGACCCTATAGGACAGAGTAGGGTTTTCAAGGCTGTAATCTCTACAGGAGCAGATAGAGAGGTCTTTGTTCTTTGGAGCCACTGGATGGGTTTGAACCACCACCATGTCAATTAGCAGCCAAGTGCTTAACCAACCGTTGCGCTACCGGAGCTCCTTTCTTTTAATAATAAAACCAAAAACCAAATCCGTTGCTGCTGAGTCAATTCCGACTCATAGCGACCTTACAGGACAGAGCAGAACTGCCCCATAGGGTTTCCAAGGAGCAGCTGGTGGATTCAAACTGCCAATCTTTTGGTTAGCAGCTGAGCTCTTGACCACTGCACCCCCAGGGCTCCCTTTTAATAACAGAATTCCCAAATTAGTTGGGCACATGGCTGCCCAGAACGAAGAGAATAAAGACCACATTTCCCAGCCTCCCTTGCAGCTTAGGTATAGCCCTGTGACTAAGTTCTGGCCAAGAGGATGTAAGTGAAAGTGATGTGTGTGATATCCAATTGCGCCCCTAAAATAAAACATGCCCTCCATTTCTGCTCTTTGCTTCTTCCTGCTGGCTGGAATGTGGATCATGTGAGCAGCATCCTAGAAATTACAGAACACTAAGACAAAAGAGGCCTGGGACCCTACAGAATTAAGCAGCCATTCCAGCCCTGGGCTGCCACTCAAACTTCCACCCGAGACAAGAATAATCTTCTGTGTTGTTCAGGCCATGTATTTCGGGGGTATTTTTGTTACAGAAGCCGATTCATATCCCATCTACCACAGTCATGACCATGATACCATGGTCTGGAAGCAGCCAGAGAGGCAATGGGGGGCAGTCTGCAGCTGCAAGATGGAAAGGGGACCTCAAATTCAATGAAGCGTCCTTGTGAAGATGCATCCTCTGATCATACTATGTTGTTGTTGTTAGGTGCCGTCGAATCGGTTCTGACTCACAGCGACCCTACAGGACGGAGCAGAACTGCCCCGCAGGGTTTCCAAGGAGCTGCTGGTGAATTCGAACTGCTGATCTTTTGGTGAGCAGCTGAGCTCTTAACCACTGTGCCACCAGGGCTCTGATCATACTACGGAGTTTTCTATATTCTGTTCTTTGTAGGGAACTTCT